GTGTTGGGTTTTTGTTGTTTTTTTTTTTTTGGTGTTGGTTCCAGCATTTGTTGGGATTTTTTTGTGTGCTGGATGAAGCTAAGCCAAATTTTTGGAGTTTCTTAAACTCTCTCATAATTAAACCACTGGCAAAATCAAAACTAAAAGCCCAGGGTATCTCCAAGGGGAAAATAAAATACTTGGAGGAGAAGAAATGAGTACTTCACGGGCAAAAGGAAAGAAGCAATTGCAAAGAAGAATGCAAGGAAGAAATAATTGTACTACAAGAATTTTGTGGATCTCTCATTGTTTCCCAGATACCAGGCAGGACTGAAATGGATCCTTTTTCCTTTCATTTATTTATTTATTAATATATTTTCTTTCAAAATCAAAGCTTGTCTCTTTACTATAGCTTGACAATATTTCACTTCAGTTTCTGAAACCAATTGCTTTGAATGAGGCTTGAACTCCCCTCCCTTCCCCAGGCCCTTGTGATTGTGATGCTGTAACTGAGCAGGATGAGGGGGAGCCAGAGATGGTTTTGGAATTCGAGGGCACACTCAGGGCTCTGAAACTCTACCCCAAAACCAGATCATGGGAAATGGCTGGGGAAGAGAACTCAGTTTACCTCCAAAAGTGTGTCTTTTGTTTCTCTATCAATTATTTTCTTTTATTCCTCAGTACCTTTCCTGCCACAGGCTCTGGTATCACCAACTCTGCCTTTTTTGGCTTTACAATCTCAGGTCTTTGCTCACTCAACTAGAGCTTTGTCACCTGCACCTTCTAAAAACTAGAAATGAACTTAAAATGAACTTTCTGAATTCTCAGCATTTTGTTTTCTCAATTACTTTTCTATAACAATCTAGAAAACCCAAGTTTTCAGTAGAAACACAGGTATTTATTTATTTTCTTCCCTAGTTAAGCATTGCTGACACGTTGTTACAGTGATAGAGAGGCTCCTGTTTTGACATCCATTTCAGTCTGATACAGCAGCAGTAGAGAATTGATCAGGGAAGAGAAGCTTTAATGGAGACAAATGAGATGACTTGAGCTGTGGGACTACTCCAAATGGAAGAAAATGAGGGAAATTAAGCACTCCAGATGCTGCTTTAGAGGTGAAGTGCCCACCTGAGAGATGGCAGAGCTGGGACATTCTCCAGACCCCCTGGAGTCACTGTAGAGGACTTTATTGTCTTAGTTTGGTTTCACAAGGAGTTGCTGAGCCCTGTCACATTTCTTGGCCAGCAGCAGGAGCCAGGAATGACTTGTGGGATCTCTGGGTGGCTGCAGTCCCCTTCAGCAGCTCACCTTTGGAATGATGGTGCTTTTCAAACCCAAGTTGCTTTTCCAGGACCTTGTTGCAGCTCCTTTTTAGAGAACAAGAGCCAAGCTGAGGGCTCTGGAGGACACAAGTTTGTGTTTAATGTCTCCCCACTGCGCATTTGGAGGAGCACAGACAGCTGGGGATGGCACATGTGGAGACAATTAGAGTCACAGATGTCATCAGGTGCTCATGTGGGAGCTTTTACCCCTCAGCACCTTTCCTTTTCTCAGATCTCCTCTGCAGAAGTGCTGTTGGCACTGCAAGCAGCCCTTGTTGCTGTTAAAATTGAAATTTCCTTGCAACAAACAATGGAATTTCCAAATTAAAGTTTTCTTTGTCAGAGAGGGCTGCCTGTGCCAGGTCTCAGCGTCTTCAGAAGGAGTGCAGAACACAGGTGTTTGGTTTTATTCCACCTTTCCTAGGATTTCTTACTTATAATCATGGCTGAGACAGAATTTTATGTGAGAATCAGTAAACTGAGTGTTCATTTTCCTGTTTTACAGCCTTGTGTGGCCTGTCACTCCCCATTACTGCTCAGCATCCATGTAGCTCCATCTGACTATGACTGAAGAGAGTCTTGCCATCCAAATGTCATCATGGTTTGTGTGTTAGCTGCCACTTCTTGAAATTCTGCATCTCCCCTGAATAGCTGCCTTGTTAATGAAGGTTCCTGATGTCAAAGGACATTTGGGCACCAGTGAAGGAGAGGAGCCAGAGCTCAGCCACAACCTTGTCTCAGTTTTTAGTTTATATACTTCTCCTGCTTAGCAGGCTTGTGTAAATCTGTTATTTAAGTGCACAACAATCACATTCAGCACAGGAAATGCAGGGAAAAGCCCTGGATTTTTAAAAAAATCTATCCCCAGAGCAAGGTGCTGCTTGGTTTGTGTTTCTGTTTGTTTGGAGCCTACCTAAGAAGGGAACAGAGGGCTGCGACCTTGGGCTTCCTAACAGGCAGCAGTGACAACGTGTGGGGATGCAGACACAAAAATATCTGTGAATTTTCCTCCTGAGAAGGCAACTTGGGAACTAGAAAGTAAATCAAATAACCAGAATTACAGGAGCAGCAATTAGGTGAGGCTGGAGGTTGTTTGGAGCTGAGCTGCTGAGTGATTTGATGTGTCAGCTACAGAGAGGCTTGAGATGTTCCTCAGGCTGCGACCTTTCCAGCAAGGGAGGAGGTCTGGAGTTCAGTAAATACTGAGAGGGAACTGTGAAAAGGCTGCTGAGATGGGGTGTGGTTGTAAGGGAAGGATTGAGAGTGTGGTATGTTCAGGTCCAAAAGCAGTCCTGCTTCCCTTGCTAGGATCACCCAAATATTGCTCTATTCTTCCTATGTTTCCTTTCAGCTTATTTGGATGAGGATGTTTTTTGGGTCTAAAAACTTCCTTGGATGTCAAAAATCCCCACATTGTGTCCAGAACTCTGTAACTGCACTGCTGTGAGAGCTTGAGTGTTTTTGTTGGCTGGGAGTAGAGATAAAAATCCCAGTCAGCATTAACAGAACTCCAGGAATTACTGCTGTGCCTACAGGCCTATTTCATGCACCACAATGCTTTTCTGCAAGATATATACAAGCAGAAAAATATTCTCCCTGTACCACAAAGCCTAAGTGTGCCTTTAGAAATAAAAAAATAAAACCCAAAAAGTTAATGCAAAGCAGGACAAGCAAAGCTTTCATTTTCTAATTTAATTTATAATTACAAGCTAAAAAAAATTATTTTAGAAGGCTGGATAGTGTCATTCTGGATGTATCAAGGTGAAGTGAGAAATCTGAATCTGCTTTTAGTGAACAATCCAGTGTCCCATACACATCCCAAAATTAACATTTCAGTGAAATCAGCAATAGAAGAATCCCAGGATAACATTGTTGGTTGTATCACATGAATGGTGCTCACATTGTTTTGTTCCTGTTGTTCTGTGGGATTCATGTGGCACAGCTTTGAACCAAAGGTACTTTTTCCATGGGGAACCTGAGACTCGAAGCTTTTGGCTGAGTTTTGGGAATGGGCTGAAATGTGACAGCAAAACAGAGCTAAGGGGGGCATTGGGACAAAGCTTTTCAAGACAAAAAACAACTGTTTCTGCTGCAGGAAGAGTCCGAAGAGCTCTTACTGTCCCAGTTCTAGATCCAGGCAGTGCATATTGACACTGCTCTGTGAGGATGAAACTTCTACTACTCATTTCCCACCTGGAATCTCATTTCCCACCTGGAATTACCTAAAGCTCGTGGCTGCTCCAGCTGTGAACTCAGATGGGGACAGAGTAACAAAGTGGCTCCAGGGCAGAGCTGAACACACCTGGTGGGTTGTGAGGAGCACAGGGCAAGCAGAACATCAGCCCTGCACTCAGGGCTCAGTCTGGAGAACACTTCCAGGGAAAGTTTAAGTGCCGATATGAGCTTGCAAAAATTAGGTTTTAGACCTTTTTTTCTCACAGATAAGACTTCCTTAAACACATATAGTGAGAACAGACCCTGCCTCCAGATTTAGGTGAGACCAACACTTGGGCAAATATTACTAACGCTGAATTCTGGATTGTCTGGACCCAGCAAATGATGCAGGGCAGATTTCTCAAATTCTTTATGCATGCAGTCAGCAAAACCCTACCTAGCTCAATGATTGATACAGAAACTTCTCCCCCAGGACCTGGCTCTGGGGAATTTCTTTCCTCTCATCTCCTGAGAATAAACTTTCTGATGAACTTTCTGAATATCTAACACTTGGATTTTGCCTAGTGTTCAGCCACTGGTAGCAAAAGGAGTGACCAATAACAAGGCTTTTTTCATTAATTACTGCTCAGAATTGTGCAGAGTTTCACTCACAAGTTCTGAAAATGCAGCTCCCTGCGGCAGGGGAGGCAGTGTAAGGAGACAGCAAAGCCTTGCTCCAGTTTTGCTGTTCCCACTTTGATTTCATTCTTCAGTGTTTTAACAAAGCTCCCTAACCAAAAGACTTTAATGGAAGTGACAAACATGAGGCAGATGCTCCTGAGCATCTGATGCTTCACAGGGTTTTATAGTGGGACTTTGCACTTGCTGTGCCAGTGGGAAAACTTTGGTTTTACCGAGTGTGTTCTGCAGTTAAAATATTTAGGCAAAACACTTCAAAATAACGCTCCTCAGTGTCAGATTTCTGGCAAGATATTTGCATTCAAGTCGCTGAAGCAGATCACACTTAGTGATCCAACTGCCTGATGGAATATTTAAAAAGTCTCCTTTTCCTCAGCAGCAAGTGTTTTTTTTTGTTGTTTTTTTTTTAAGCTTTCACATTGTAATAAGCAATTTCCCCTTCAGGGAGATTGTTTTTAGAAGTGTTTTAAAGCAGCTGTTGCTTTAAAACCCTGACAATAATGAATCTTGGCTTGTGCTTGGATAAAATAAGAAAATGTCAGTCCTCACACACAGACACACACCTTCCCTCTAAAACAGTGCATCAGCTTTGTCAAAACAGCTCTGAATTCAATACATTGCATGGAATTAAATAAAAGCATAGAATCTTACAGAGCATAATTCAAAATTTAAGTAAAAGCCAACATAATCTCTGTGCACAAGCTGAGAGCAAGGCAGAGAGAGCCCAGTCCTTCACAGGGGTGACCTCATGGTCTCCTTGTATTTTTGTGTTCATTTAGCTCTGCAAAAAAAGGACTTTTTCTGCTGTTTGCAGAAGGAAGGGGAGGATTATTCCCAGGTTCTTACCTCTGCTGCTGGCATAGAGGATCACCAGGGCAACGGCCGCACAAGTCATGAGGAGCAGCAGGACAGCCAGCCCGATGGCCACAAAGCTCCAGGGCTTCTTCCCGGATTTGGTAGTTTTTTCCACAATATCCATTTGGCTTTCTGATTTCCCCATTATTGTAACTCTAAATTGGAGAGGGGAGGGCGAGAAAGGGTTAGCAGCACAGCTACATCAGGATAGGGAGAAGAAATGCATGAGAAAAAAAGTAAGCAGATTAAAAGCAAAGAGAAAAAGAAAACTTCCAGATAATTACATGTATTTGTCCATTTGATTGTCCACAGATTTGCCAACTTCATTCTCCATCTCCTGTGCCTGTGTGTCTACTGTCGGTTAGGGGAGGGGCCGGGGGACTGTGCTGCCCCAGGCTGTCCGTGATTCAGTGTCAGAACTGCAGAAGCCTCTTTGGGAAGTATGGAAAAGTCTCATGACTAGGTTGGGCAACTCCTTTCCCTCAAGCAGAGAAGGAGGGGTGCAAACTGCCGCCTTCCACTGCCCTCTTCCAAAGTATTCACGCTGCCGTGAAGAATTCCCTCCGTGGCGCCGGGCAGGTCTGCGGGGCTCTGTTAACAGCCAGGGAATCCAAGCTGGGATCCTTCCAGGTGCGAGCGCCCTGGAGCGGCTCCGTGGGCAGCGGCGATTCGGGATGGGGACAGCGGGCGGCTCCGGGGATACAGGGCAGCTCCGGGGGCTGCGGGAGGCTGCGACTCTGCGAGGCTTCTCCGAGCCATGCTCAGGTTGGGAGCTCAGCCCCGAGCCCTTCCCAGCTCCAGGGAGATGCTCCGGGGGAGGAGGGGGTGGGATGGGATGAGAGGGGTGGGATGGGATGGGATGGGATGGGATGGGATGGGATGGGATGGGATGGGATGGGACGGAGGCGCTCCGCGCCGCTGCAGCTTCTGCCGAGCTCCCTCCGGCTCCCCGGGATTCTGTTATCCCTGGAATGCCACTCGGCTATTCGGCAGCGCTGCTCGCAGGGGAGGTGGGAATCTGCTGAAGCTCTCTGGCTTCCCAAACCACCGGCAGCTTTGGGGCGGGATGAATGGGAAAAGTGTGTGCAAACAGGCTGATTTATGGATTGCTGCAGGCAATGCACACAATTCCTTCGTGGAAATCTGTCTGGGAACAGCTGGGAAAAGCAGTAAAAGCAAGGGCAGGGTGAGCGTGTGGTTTCCCTTGGGTGTTGTTTGTTACCCTGCTCCAGAACGGACTCGGAGGAGGGAGAAGCAGGCTGCTGCTGGGCGTGTTTGGAGTAACTTGCTGCAAGAGCTCACACGGGAGAAATGTTCAGGTTGTGCCTATGCACTCCAAGTTTTGTGTGAGTTCAGGAGGAGGTGCTGGGGGCAGAGCAAGGATTCCTTTGTGGCTGTTTGCTGGGAATGGACACAGTGTTCCAAGAATGGAGAACAATGAACGCCAGTTCCTTCTGCCAGGAGCCAGTCTCTTCTCCCAGTCAGTATTCTGCCTCAAAATCCCTGGGAGAATTTCACTTTTATTTTTTTTTCTCCATGTTAACTCAGGCTCCTGGCAAGTGTAAAGACAGCAATTCTCATCCCACCAGCTGAGGTGGAGCAGGAGAACACAGGGGTGGGAAATGCACACACTCTTCAGCAGATTCTGGGTGTCCATATGGGAAACAGAGCTGCAGAAGGCAGGGGCACTTCTAAGGACAAAGCTATATATTTAATTAGGATTTAAGTGATCTCTCATTTTTGTTTGCAGTAGTTTCTACAGCTAACAAAGATTGATTTCCTGCGTTTATGGGAATCTTCCTTGTTGTTGAGCAGTTTTATGCTTATTTTACAACATAGTTGGCTCCAAGTGGGATCTACTTGGTTGACATCCATAAAATTGCAATAGGCAGGTGTCTCACAAGACTTAATATGGCAACTTTTGTAGATTTAAAGTCATAATTTTTGTAGATTTAATGTGGTTATTCTTGTACATTTAAAGTAGTTGTTCTCATAGATTTAATGTATTTATTCTTACACCATGGCTATAAGACACTTCAGGGTATTATTTTGCCCATTTTGGAGGTGGAGACTCAAGATGCCAAGAATCCAAGAGCTTTATTCCTTCTGCTGTGCTAAGTGAAAAAAACCCAACCCAACTCAAACAAACAACCCAACGAAACTCAAGAAACCCCTTATTTTCTGCTTGAGGAGCAGCAGCAACTGTAAAGGACATATTTGGAGAATCATTAATTTTGATTGTCTTGAGCAACTTTGAATGGAATGGAGCAATCCATCATCCTGACAGAGCAGCAAGGTCCCTGTTCTGGTCATTGCTTCAAAGGGGACAGACCTGCTTTGATTTCTGACAGCCTCACTCTCACCTTGAAGCCTCTGTGGCAAAGGCAACTCCATGCTGTGAAGTGGAATGGGTTTGCTTTGTTACTTATTTTCCCCTAAATCTCACATTCAATTAAATTATTCATAATTTAATCACTGCCTGCAGAAATTCTCATCTGCTGGTCCACTCCACTATCCATTAGCCCCTTATTTTGCAAAAGACCTTTAAAAGCTTAATGCCTCTTTGAAAACCTGTGAAGGTGAACACTGGTCTGGGGATTTCTTCCAGAGAGTGAGGAATGGTGGGGGTTTTTGGTTCTTGGAAAACATCCTCTCTCCCCAATGCAATGTAGATGCAAAACATATGAAACAATGAGGCATTTGCTGTTTGGGTTGGACCACTTTGAAAGGAATTTTCAGTTTTTGCTTACTTTGTAACTTTGCAGAGGAGGTTCTCCCCTTACTGGAATTTGGAAGTGTAAAGAGCTCACAGTGGCAGGGTTACAGCTTAAAAAACACCTCAAATTAGGGATTTTTACCCTTGGATCCTGCAGGGATGGGGCTTGAGCAGCCAAGCTGGATGACCGCCTCTGTGGGATGTGTTTACTGGGAACTCAGACCCCACATGTGAATATTTACTCAAAAGGTGCTTCCTCAGGCACAAGGCATCCCAAACTGCACAGAACTACTGAATACAGAGAGGGAGTAGCTCTGGGGTTTTATGCGGTGCTTTTCTTCTTGGGAAAAATTCTCAAGTCTGGGGGGAATTTAGGTCAGGAGTTCCAGCCCTGGACAGCAAATATTTGAGCTAGTGCCTCACTTGTCTGGGAGACAGCACTTGAATATTTTCGTCTTTGTATTTCCCCCAGAGAATCTGGAATATCCATGGCTATACCTGGGACACTGAGCTGGGATGAGACTACCCAAGGATATTTTTACCTTGCTCAGAAGTTTGGTTGCTGTGTCATAGTTGCCACAATGTCAAGTTGACCTTCTGCTCCTCCTCTAGAATGAATTGATTCTGAAGATAGAAATTGTCAGTTGTGCATTTTTTTTTCCTCTCTGACTGTGTTTGCTTTGCCACTGGTAATGTGAACCTCAAAAACTTCGTGCTTGTGAGAATACATGAGAATATATAACCCAAAATTATATATATATATATGCACCTGATATAATTCTATGAATATATTACTTAATTTAGTTGCCTGTCTGATTTCCGCACAGTTTTTAGTCTTAATATCAATGTGATTGAATGCTCTGAGTCACCTGAATAGATGATCCCATGGTTGCTGCTCCCTGTATGCTCTCAGAAATCCAGTGATGCCAGTAGGCACATCCCCACTGCTGAACCCCAGCTGGAGCTCTGGGGTTCTCCTGCAGGGATTAAACAGGACCACCAAATGTAAAAACAACTCCATGTCCTAAAGCAATCTGAGACAAGCAGGATGTGGCAGCATCTTTAGTGTGATTTGTCTTAAGAGTTGTTGCCATGGAAACAAGGTCTACATCTCTCTCTGGTACATCCTTATAGATATCTATAGTGAGATGTGAGGGAAATTCTCTTACCTCTGGGTGACAGAGTTTTTAGTTTGCCCTGAATCCTTTGCCTATGCAAAAAAAAAAATTTATTTGAGGCAGTCCTGTATCAGTGAAAGTGCAATTCCAGATCTGGAATCACTGCTGTGTGAACTGCAAGTTAGAAATGAGCAGCTCCTCTGTGTGTGGGGCAGAGGTGTGGGGACCAGGTCCAAAACTGCTTAAAATCTCTTAATTTTTTTACTTTTTTGGTATTAGTACAATAAAGAATCATAGGTCTGGAAAGAGAGATGCTACCTGTGGTTATCTGGGTTTCAATGTTCAGGTTACACAGATACAAAGATCTGTTTCTTCTGTATATATAAATTAATCTAAACAGGAAAACTGACCTGAACCAGGATTAATAATGCATGAGTAAAATAGTCAGTTTAGTAACAAGAACAGTGTCCATTATTCCAGTCAAAATGTCAGCAAATGGGATTAGTATACTCTTTTAACTTAAATACAGAAGAAAGTCTGAAGCTATAGGGTGACATTAAAGCAAAAAAGCCCAACCCAGCAGCCTCTCCCCAGTGAATCAGCAGATGCCTGGCTCCAGGACAACGGCTGGATGTAGCCTGTGATTTATTGTGGCAGGGATGCTGCCCACAGAGGAGAACTCATTGTGCTCAAAAATAATGGGTTTGTCTCCGAGAGCCAGCAGAACCCTGTCATCAGTCAGCCAGCAGAAAAGAAATAAAGCTCAGCATTGAATTATCTTCTTGGAACAGGTTGGCTGCCAGCTGTGTGTGGTGGAAATAAGTCCTGGTAAAGGCACAGCTGAAACGGTTTAGAATTGGGAAAACCTCGAAGTTTAGGCTATGTTTCAATACTCTTCCTGTCCCTTCAGACATGAACATCTTTGGAGCACCCTCAGCATTAAAAACTACCAGACAGCAGTGTTATTATGCAGGAAAGGTACAGTAGCTCCTTCCCTGAGTTTCTGGATGCATTCAGTGCAAAGACAAGCAGGTAAAAAGGTAAAGGTGTCTTACCTGGCTCTTGTGGAGGAGGTTTTTCAGCTGCAGAGGTCCCTCAAGCGGTTTCTGGGGTGGAACTGGACTGTTTGTGTTTTCTGTCAGTCAGAAATAAATGTTTATCCATGTTCCCAGCACTGATCCCCTTCCAGGCTCTCCCCAGGAACGGTCTTTGTAAAGTTCTATGCCTAAATCTCCCTCTCTCCCCCTCTCTCACATGTAGGTGGCTCCCAATGCCCAATGAATTAAATGCTCTGCTCTGAGACATCTCAGGGATTAACCCCTTCCAACATGTCTGAAATCACCTGGTTTTATGTCTAGACTGGAAAATAGGTTGTGTAGCAGGGCTGCCTTTAAGAGGACAAGGTGATTTCCTGGCTTCTTAGCATTTGGAGAATTCACTTCTATTACAATAATTAATTCTTAGGAAAGTTCTCATTTTCCATGAGGTGTGTTACCTTTTTCCTCAAGATGTTTTTTGAGACTTCTGGAATGCAGTGCCTCAGTCTCACACTTAATTTCAGTATTGTAATAATTTCAGTATTTTAATAATTTCAGTATTTTAATTAGATCCTTAATGAATATAAGTCTTCAAAATTATATGTACATGAGTTGAGAAGTATAAAAGTATATTTTGGCATTGTTTTGCTGTATAGGAAGACAGATTCCAAACAAAATAAATCTCAGATATTTTACCTTAAATTATTTTCAAGTTTCAGCTGTTCCAGTGTACTTTTTTTAAAAATGGCAAGGAGATAATCCTTGTTTCCAAGGAAAATTGTTCAGACCAGTTGAGAAATTAGAGTATATAATCCTAGTCCTGTATTTAAACACCAGGCACATGATATTTCATACAACACAGAAGTCTAAGCCATAAAATCCTCTTCAATAAATTTTTACACTTGGTTTCAGCAAGACTGTGAAATCCTGGATTATTAGAATGTTTGTAAATATGC